CCGGCGGCCCTGCCCCAGGCAGCTGAATCGGGGACGCCTGGGGCAGAGCCGGATTATCGGAAGGGGGGGCTATGAAGGGTCTGGGGTGGCATCCCCCCACACACCACCCTAGACCCCTCATAGCCCCCCCTTCCGATAGTCTGGCATATCTGATAATCCAGCACCCCCTGGGTCCTAAAGGTGCCAGATTTTCAGAAGTTTACTGTATATGGATCCCTGGTTCAAACCCAAAGTAGAGTTGCAAGAGTACACAATTATGGATTAGGTACTGAGTTTGGAGTGTCTCTACCTACACTTCTCCTCTGCCTTGGGGATAGGATTCAGAGACCTTTTTCTATTTCTAGCTTGGCACAACAGGCAAGATTGAACCCTGATAGAGTGGATTTTTGCTAAATGAGTTTTTGATACAATATATATATCCTATAATAAACATTAATGTGTGATAGAGCTGACAAACTGTCCATTTTTGCTTTGGGACTGATTTACTATCAGATATGAATCTCTTTCTGATAACATATTATCATTTTTTCCAAGGCACCAATGCTGCAATTTGCTTTGGCTGGATGGATCCCTGTGCCCACACAGAGCATACTGTAGTTGTGCACATTGTTTTGCAAATCTATATGACAGGGCTTTGTCCTGAGCAGCCTATAGTCTAAAAAACATTCTAGAGGAGGGGAAAAAACAAAACAGCAAGACAATCAAAATGAATTTGTTTCTTGTAATCACATGCATTTCATAAAGTTTGACAAAATCATTTGCAACTGAGATAACATATAAGAGTAACATTTTGTCCTAATCCTATTCTATTGTATTTTTGGTGGTTTTTGTTTTGTTGGTTGGTTGGGTTTTTTTTGTTTTGTTTTGTTTTTTAAACTGCTGAGTATCAGCAGAAACTTCAAGCAATGTGATGTTGGGTTTTCCCGTTCCCCCCATGGAACCCTATTAAATTTTAAACCTATAGTTCCCAAAGTTAGCAGTTCAAAGCTTTGCCTTAAAATTGTTAACTTTAACTTCATTGAAGAAAGTTTGGCAAAACTGTTGATGAGAAAACATACTAGAACCAAAACAAAGACAGTCTACAACTGACAGAGTTTTGCTATTTTTCAGGGCACAGCAATCAATCACTAGATATCCTCATGTCTGGTTAAAACTAAGACATTCTAAGTTTTAGTGAATAGTTGAATAATAAAATATTCTATTTCTGCTTGCTAACTATTTTTCTCAGAAAACATGGTAAGTACTGAGCTACTTAAATCAATAGAACACTTTATGACAAATCTTAGCTAAAGCCAAATAGTATGTTAGGATTCCCTTTTTAACAATTTTATATATATAATCAACTTTTAAATAAAAGTACATCGACCAGATGCAGGTACCAAATATGCAATTTGACAGCTAAGATAATTCAAATGCAAAACCGCAGGGAATTAACTGTACATGTTAGTTCTGTAACACAAGAGAACAATGTTTTATTAATCACCTGCTTTATGTCAAAATCCTTTTCTGGGGTTAACCACAAGATCAACTATTTAAAGTAAGGCATTTCCTTTAGATACTTATTTCCATTAATTAATAACTGAAACAGCTTTAAACAAAAACTGTTATTTCATAACTGTAAGGAAAATAAAATATATCCAAAGTAAAGTTTCACATCACAAAGGGTTAGCATACTTTTCACTGTAAATCGTAATGCAAAAACTGTAAATGTAAAATGCCTATGTACAGCATACATCGACACTATACTCTGCAATAAAACTACTCAGTATAAGACCAAGAACAAATATATCAGTATAAATATGCAGGAGGAGGTTTAGATCAGTGCCTGCAAAATTTTCTATAATTTCTACACACTCTCAATGTTTTCAAAAGCAAAAAGCTTAGTTAATGCCATAACTACACTATAACAATACAATAGTATAAAATTACCCTATAAAACAAAATTGGAAATGTTACTATTTGTATCAGTATTTATCAGGATATCAGTTGATACTCACAGGAAATGTTTGGCTTCCAGGTAATTCTGAAGTTAACTTTCTTCATAAAGCTTTACAACACATCACAGTTTTTTAAATATATCGCTATCAGTTGCCATACATCTTAAAATAGTTTCACTGTTTTATGCTTTGAATAAAATTACTCATTTGCTTGCATGATGAGTAAAATGCCTTTCATGTTTAAAACTGGAGTAAGATTGTTTTCAGTCTGATTTTTATATATAGTTTTATTGTCTGATCTTTCTCTCTATATTAAAAAAATCTATTTTGTATATATGTATATTTTAAAACATATTAGTGGTGAATACACATACACACATTTAAGATATACAGTTGAGAAAAGGTAAATATCTGACAATGAATACCAGTTTATTAAACTTACCACAACTTTTCCTTTATGAGCTTTGACTGTTGCTCCAAACCACTGATTTGACTTAAACTCAATAGGTTCCCTGGTGCCATTGACTTTGATTTTTCTATTGTCTGACAAAGAAAGAAACAGGTTGCTGACATCTAATTTAAAAATGTTACCTCATTGGTTTCAGCTAGATAATAGAGAAATGGAACATGAATTACATCACATCTATCATTCCCAGACCAATTTCATTAATGTGGTAATGTTTGTTTTGTTCAAGCACATGTCAGTGGTCAATGAAAAATAATTCTATCAAATTCACATAAAACTAAATATTTTGAATTTACTGTAATGACAATAAAAAAGCCTTAGGAAACCAAGGAAAACACTCCCCACACCATCCACCTGAAAAATGTGTTTAATTGGGGATTTCAAATAATGAATTAACACGAACCCCTACAAACTGAGCAAAAATTTCATAAAACTTCTCAAAAATTGCATAGCTTTATACTGTGACAAAATATGTATTGTAATCATTTTGACCGGGCAAGTGCAATTTCTTAGCATGCGTTATTCAAGGATCAGTATTAAGTCTAGCAAAGGACTTGGTTCTTAACTGAATTACATATGTACACACTGCCACAAGAGACAGTTCTTTTACATTGCTTTATGTACATTTTGCAGATGTCAGCATAAGAAGAGCCATCTGGGTAAAGACTCAGCCCAATTATAATGCATTTCAGGTTTAATAAAAAGCAGACCTCCCTTCCTTTCACCCAGTACTCTGAAGTAAACGGATTCCCCACATGTTCTTAAGGTAGGCTCCTCCCTCACCAGTCACTCCTAATGAACTTCTCAATTTATATAGAAGCAGCTTATTACCCATATTCCCTCATATCTGTCTTCTCTTACTTTTGTTTCTGGTTCTTATCAAGGAGTATTTCCCAAGAACAAACTCTTTTTATGCATTTTAAGTGAGAATAAAAACACACTCACTGTCAAACCTGCAATGAAAAGAGTTTTTAAATATCATATTACATTATCTGAATTTAGGAAAATGAAAAATAAAAACATACCAGTAAAAATTCAACAGTCAGCATTTTCCTGCAGTTACAAACAATGGTAGATGAAATACCTACGTTCTCTCTTATTCCAAGCACAGGGATATTGTGGCATTTGAGACTCTGCTGCACAATAACTGCTGATAAATGTTATTGATACAACCTGAATTAGGGTGAAAGAACCATTATTCTAGAGGACTGGAGAACTCAGCATCAGTATTTTTGTTAATTTACAACTATGTGTAAAGTCACATGACCAGAAAAGCTGAGAGAATGAATGTATGCAAGTTTGGAAAAAGTTCCTTTAATTTATACAATCCTGTGAAATTTGCAAATGTTTATGCCTCATGAATACAGATTCTCTAGCACTGCAATTGGTATTTACAGAACTGACAAAAGAGCCAGAAACTTTGTCACATGCACTCTCACAAATTTCATAAATCAGCGAGAATATATATAAAAATATACTTAATTTTTTTAACTGGAACCTCTTAAAGGGCCAAAATTGTAAGAGTCTGACAGATGATGATCTTGGTGAAGCAATACCCTGGGAGAGCAGCACAGTTTCATCGAGCCTTTGGTGCCACTCTTGATTTGCTCTCCCAGAGGGGCCTGACATGCAGACACTTCCAACTTTTCCAAAGCTTCTTTTTTTTTTTATTAAACAAACATATTTGAACACAGACTATGTATGTTCAAGTATTTGATCTTGATTGAAAACAAAGTTTTTAAACCTTGAAAATCTGCCACAAGTTTTGACAAACAGCTGCCATCCTTAGATGGACTCTGAAAAGTGAATCCTCACAATCAGTTTTCTAGCTTGAAAAGAGTGTTTTTATTTGGAGCAAACATATTTGTATGCACACAGATTATACACAATGGCTGTGTCTACACTGCACCCCTTTTCCGGAAAAGGGATGCAGATTAGACCAGTCGGAATTGCAAATCCACGGGGGAATTAAATATCCCCCGCAGCATTTGCATTTACATGGCTACCGCTTTTTTCCGGCTTGGGGATAAGCCAGAGAAAAGCGCCAGTCTAGACGCGATTCTCCGGAAAACAAGCCCTTTTCCGGAGGATTTCTTATTGAAAGTAAGAATAAGAAATCCTCCGGAAAAGGGCTTATTTTCCGGAGAATCGCATCTAGACTGGCGCTTTTCTCCGGCTTATCCCCAAACTGGAAAAAAGCGGCAGCCATGTAAATGCAAATGCCGCGGGGGATATTTAAATCCCCCGCGGATTTGCAATTCCGACTGGTCTAATCTGCATCCCTTTTCCGGAAAAGGGGTGCAGTGTAGACACAGCCACCGGGTACGTCTAAACTGCAACACTATTTCGAAATAACTAGTGCTATTCCGAAATAACAATCCCAGTCTACACAGCAGGCAGTTATTTTGAAATAGTGTCAAAATATTGTCAAACTAGAGGACTTCTTACTCTGACTCCTATAACCCTCTGTGTATGAGAAATAAGGGAAGTCAGAGGAAGACTGCTTTATTTCAAAATAAGTGCTGTGTAGACGCTCCCTACTTTGAAATAAGATACTCAATTCGCGTAGCTTATTTTGAGTTAAGCCCTGCAGTGTAGCTGCACCTAATGTGAACACGAGTTATGCTTTACAAACAACACCTCTTGTTCAAGAATTACCCCTCTGAAAATTAATACAAAATGGCAGCTGGGAATGACACTTTGTCCTTTGAGCCCTTGATACTTTTAAAGCCATGATTCTGTATAGGATAAAATACCTAAATTACAGTGAGTTAGCTCAATGTTTCACTGTTTTTTTAAACCACAAAAGATTATTTCAAACTTTATATCTCAAAACACTCTGGGTTTGAACATGCCAGGCTCTGTGCAGCACCGAGGGAGAGAGCACAAAGAAAAATTTCCCCACATAGAGCTGACTTGCATGTCTCTGTGAGGGTCACCCGCAGTCCTTGAAATAAGGGGGTGCAATGAATATGTGAGTCTAGCATCAGCGAAGCTATGGCATTGTTTCCCCTTTTTCCATAGAGGCCAGCAAAGCTGGCGTCTATTGCTGGACTTGCCTATGCACAGTACAGCTGTGATTTCTCAGATATTGCACCTATCTGAAGCACAATACGTTCAGGAGCTCCTGGCTCACTTCTGGAACGTCACCACCTTTGGATGTGCCTTTTATGTACCATTTATCTCTCCACATAGAAACTAAACCAGTATTTAGATCACAATAAAACAGCCACCATTTCTTTCAGCTTTCCCCAGGTAACTCTATTAAAATAAAAGACCAGATAACAATAATTTAGCTTTGATGGCTCCAGGATATTAAGGTATGAAGAGAACTCTGTGTAAGCTCTCTCACCAACTGAAGTTGGCCTAATAAAAGATATTACCTCACCCTCCTCATCTCACATAAAAATGGACACATCTGTGAATTTACCAGAATATGTTATTCCATTAGTACATTGCATGTTTCATTAGAGAATAGGTTCCTCCAGGAATAAAACATGATACAGCTGCTATTTCACAGTATCAGATACTGATATTACCGCCTTTACAGTAAAGCCCATGCTCCTTACAACCTTTAACATATTTATCCTCAGAATACCCCCTAGGAGACAGGAAGTACTATTACCCCACTTGAATATGGGCAACCAAGACTCAGAGAGGATGAATGTCTGGTGAAGCATTTCCCAATTAACTGCAGTCCATGCTCAGCTATGATGAACCTCCTTCCATTTGGTCCCTAACACATACTGAATTGTGATCAATTTAACTGGTCATTTTGTCTGACTCAGAAGAGCAGCTCTTTAAAATACCAAAGCAGCATGCAAATATCGCTCCCTTTTTCTGGTCTCCAGAGGGCAATTCCTGCAATGAAATCTGGGAGGTTCTACCACTGTGGGGACAGCAGCTACATATGTGTTTGTTATGGAATGCTATTGACAGAGCCTTGGATGCTGGGCAGGAGGTGGCCATGGAAGGCACTGTGCTAAGACCGGGGGATCTGTGCCTACTACATTGATCCAGCAGCCATTTCCCATATGGAGGATGGAAACAGCGTAGGGAACCATTGTGGCTTTACTGCTATTCCACTGGCTGGAAGAGAGGACTCTTTGCCCATGCTCTCATCTCCCAGCCTCAGTACTGAGGATCTGAGTTGGGTAATAAAGCCCTCATGGACCGAATCTAAGATCCTTATTCAGACCTGACTCAGGGAAATTCCCACTGACTTCAGCGGCAGTTTTCCCTGAGCAATGATCTCAAGATTAAGCTCATGAACAAAAAAAATTGAGTACTAATAATGTTTTTTCCTTAAATGGAATTAAAATTACCTAACATTGCAGACATCAAGAGACTGTTTAGAAAGTTTCTTAGTGTCTGGCAAGCAAAACAGTCTTTGAATTATCAAGTACATCCCTATGAGTGGAAGAACTGGTTTACATCAGGTCAAGCAAAGATCACATGTTTTTCAAGCTGTTTAGCAAACCATGCCGTGTGGCACCTTTTGGTAGTAATATCTAGCACAGCATTTAGACACGGTGCAGACCAAATGCTCACCACAGAAGTATCAGGGAAACTTCCTCTGAAATCATGTCATCAGTGTTATGTCAATGGGAGTTGCAGTGGAGTCACTGACAGGAAAATGTGATGGCCACATGTCCTAGAGGATAATATCAAAGACTCCATAATTCAATCGCCTGCAATAGTGCTGTGGCAGCAGCAGTGCACTGAATGGGTCTAGCATGTGCTAAATACAACTCTTTAGGAGTATTTTTGTGTTTTAAGTGACATAATTAAGAAAAAATTTAATCCAGATAGTCAAATATAAATCTATGTTAAAACAACATTATAGGCATAACTGCACACTTGAAAACTGAGCAGGTAACAAGTACATCTGTAAATCCAATATTTGCATATGTTAGATCAAATTTAGCCCTGCATAAGTGGGTGGAATTTCCATTAGGCTCATCAAGTGACTAACTATACCTATGAGCAGTCAAGCATGCAACTACCTGATTTGCTTCTGTAAAAACTTGTGTGTGTGGATAAATGCAGGATTTGCAGACTGAATGGGTTTATCTGC